CTTATCATCAACTTCCTGAGTAGCTTCCTCAAAAAACTCCAACAGATTTGTTAAACAGGATCTACCTCTCCTAAATCCATGCTGGCTATCCCTCAAAATTTTATTTTAGTCCAGGTAATCTACCATTTTCTCTTTGATTATAGCCTCCATAACTGTACCAGTTATACAAATTGCTCTGTAGGATACCTCCAAGAGAAATGGAACATAGGGCTCTATTTTGTACCAGTGCAAAGCACGATGCAAATTGGTTTTTCTAGTTTCGTATCAACACATAGCTCATTTTCACACCATGCGCGCACATCATCAAAATAGTAAATGATTTTGCATCCACTTTCTGCTTGTAGGAGTGGTGTTTTTTAAATGAGGCGTGGCTGGGCACATTGTCGGCACGTTGCTATTTTATAGCAGTGCAAAGTCATTGCACTTTTGGCCAATAAAAACTATGTCTAAAGTTAGTGGAGCATTATTAAACAGTAAGGGGCGTGTTTTAGAAACATGCAGGTGCACGATGCTCATTATTCACACAAATACACGCTCAAAACGCACTAATGGTATTTCAATTAATTTCATTTATATACATTTTACTATAGTTTCATATACACTGCTCAAAATAATTAAAGGAACACATTTTAATCAGAGTACAACATCGAGTCAATTAGACTTCTGGGAAATTGTTCTGGTCTGTAGCACAGGTAGTCCAACTCCTCCAGGATGGCGCATCAATACGTGCCATTGCCAGAAGGTTTGCTGTGTCTCCCAGCACAGTCTCAAGGGCATGGAGGAGATACCAGGAGATAGGCAGTTGCTCTAGGAGAGCTGGACAGGGCCACAGAAGGTCCTTCACCCATCAGCAGGACTGGTATCTACTCCTTTGTGCAAGGAGGAACAGGATGAGCACTGCCAGAGCCCTACAAAATGACCTCCAGCAGGCCACTGGTGTGAATGTCTCTGACCAAACAATCAGAAACAGACTTCATGAGGGTGGCCAGATGGCCCGTCGTCCTCTAGTCCTCAATTGGAATTTTCCATAGAATACTAGAATTGGCAAGTCCGCCACTGGCACCATGTGCTTTTCACAGATGAGAGCAGGTTCACCCTGAGCACATGTGACAGATGTGAAAGGGTCTTAAGAAGACATGGAGAATGTTATGCTGCGTGTAACATTGTTCAGCATGAACAATTTGGTGATGAGTCAGTGATGGTCTGGGGAGGCAGATCCATGGAGAGACGCACAGACCTCTACAGGCTAGACAATGGCACCTTGACTGCCATTAGGTATCAGGTTGTAATCCTTGTACCCAGTGTCAGACCCTACGCTAGAGAAGTGGGTCGTGGGTTCCTCCTTGTGCACGACAATGTCCAGCCTCATGTGGCGAGAGTATGCAGGCAGTTCCTGGAGGATGAAGGAATTGATATACAGACGCTGGAGGCCAGTTTGTGAATCATGACCCTAGCCTTGTTGTTGCTACTCTGAAGATTCAGCTTAGATCCAGTAGGCTATCAACTACTGGGAAAATGAGGCTGGACTTGGCCAGATTTAAAGATCAAGCTGTTTCTGATGAGTTTGCATGCGGTCTGTGTGAGGAACTTGCAAACTTTGATGCGACTGCCAACTCTAATGTGATGTGGGAAACCTTCTGTGATAAGACCATGAAGGTTGGTGCTGCTGCACAAGAGGAGGTGTTTCATCTCACAGGGCACCCTAGATATTATCGAGAGGAGTCGCAACGCACGACTTGGTGTACCAGGAACTGAGGAGGATGACTGTGAGGGCTCTGAGGGCAGATAAAGACGTGTTTGTTAGATGAATCTGTGAGCAGGTGACACATCGGTGGTTTATTTGAAATATAGTTTAGTTTTAGTTTTCTGTGTGGTTTCGTTAATTTTTATTTAAAAAATCTATTTAGTTTAGGTTTAAGGGGTTTACCTTAGATTTTCATTTATTTTTAGGTATAGACAGAGACTTGCAGGACTTTGCTAGTGTAAGGCTGCAATGTTACAGAATTTAGTCTTCAAAAGACATCCCGTCACGTGGTTTGGAATACCTAAGGAAGAGCTCCAGAGTAGCAAAGGGAGATATCTGTATTCAGAGCTCCCACATAGTGCTGTGTGAATCTACATCTGTAATCAGATATTTTCTGCAATTACTCTGTGTCCACTCAGCTGAGGTATGTAAATGTTGTATTGTTTTTGTTTGGATGGTATAGTTTAGGAATTGTGGCCACATGTTAGAATTACATTAATGTTATATTTGGTTAAAATGATGTGTCTTGTATTAATTGTGAATAAATTGTGTTTTGATTACTTCTTGGCTGTCTGACTTTGCTAACCTCTGCATATTTTCCGTAGACTGGGTTTATTTCGAACATTCTCTTGCAGCCTCTGACTCGACCCCGTTTCTCCGAGACCCGATGTGACTGACCAAGTTGAGTTACGGTGAATACCAGCTCAGCCTCTGAAGCGCGCACACACTGAGTTACGGCAAAAGACCAGCTCAGCCTCTGAGGCGCGCACACGCTGGGTTACGGCAAACACCGGTTTAACCTCTGAGGCACTCACAAACTCAGATACAGCAAGTGTCGGCTGAGCTTGTGAGGGGTTATAGGTAGCCGGGCCCGAATGGTCGTCAAGGCTGACATTGTGTTATGTTGTAGGGATTTCCCACTTTCTAAACAGAGTCCTACATAGCAGACCCGCAGATCACCCTCTCAGCCGAGGCGAACCCGGTATACTCCACCGTCCGGGATTAATGGGAGTTAAGCAATAGAAGGCACACCCCAGGAGTAATCGGAATAACAGAAATGTCATGACTAAAACACCATAAAAGATCTTTAATTAAATTGGAGTCACATATAATTCGGTTGTACCTAAAAGGGTGGGTAACTTACGTGTTGGCACTTGAATTATGAATATTCAGGATCACAGACAACGTGGCACTGTAGTGTGCTCGGCACACCACACCCACTTTCTGTGAAGTATGAACCAGCCCTTAATGTGATTAGATTCACTAGATCTGTATCTGTTCTTTCATATTCACCATTGACTTGGACTAGGGATAATTGAGATGACTAAACCCCCCCATGGTAAATTTCACCAAGTTCCCCATGATAAATTTCGCTGATCAGCTACTGGATTGCTATTGATAAAATTTGCCAGGGTTGGTGACAGAAAAAAAAAATCATAATCCTTATTTTAGTATACTCAGAAAATTATCTTGCACCCCACCGTTTGAGATTCACTGACCAATACAATGATCCAAGGAAGCTAGTAAAAAGATCCATGGGATTCATTTATATGGCGTATGACTGTGTTCACAAGATGGTGACTGCAAGCCTCCCTTTCTGCCCTCTGCTGTCCCCTGTTGCTGCAGTTTCAAGTTTGGGGGTGATTTAGGGTCTATCAGGTAAAGATTTTCAGGTGTAGATTTTCATCCATATAATGTTTTTGTGAAGTAATAAGATACATCAAACAGAGTACATAGAGTACTAATATCAAATAGAGTCATCATGTTGTCTTATCTAAATCACCCTTCTCTTTGCTGTCACTAAGCACTGTTGCTTCAATGCGTTTGGCTCAAAATTTTATCAGGTCCAGATTTTCACCTTGACATCAGATCCAAAAAGGTTGGAAAATATGTCTAATACTTTTCAGGTTATAGTGCTAAAGGCAACTTCCCTTGAAAAAAACTGCCTTTTTTGGTATCGCTATCCTTCAATTTTGAGGGTGCTCAGTCTCAAAATTTGATTACTTCCAGCTTGTCACCCTTACATCTGCAGAGGTTGAAAAAGATCCATACAGTATAATTAGAGTTACTGTGTTCATCTACAGCTGCTGTTTCCCTCCTCTGCAACCACACAACACTGCTGCTTCATTTTTGGGGAAATTTATCTGAAAACAAAAACGTCTTTATCCATATGTTTTCGTAAAGCAATAAAAGATCCATCAAATACTTTTTGACTTACCACATTCATAAACTCAAATGTCATCTGCTTTCACCCATCTCTTTGCTACTATAAGCGGTGTTGCTTCAGTTTTTGGGTGATCTGTCTCAATATTTAAACAGTTCCAGTTTGACACTTATACAATACTCTGAACAGTTTGCAAAAGATCTGTAAAACAATTTTTGAGTTGTCGGCTAACACACTAAAGCCTCTCTGGCAGCGTCAGACCAGTGGTAAAACCATATGTAAGACCAGAAATCCAGGGTATCCAATAATATTAGGCTGACAGAAAGGTTGTTGACATACCACATTACATAATAGCAACACAGAGCAGTACTGGAGACAGTAAGAGGACAGGTCATGGAGGGCTGTCCCACATACCTTAGCTGCAGCACAGCGCACCGGCATGGCGCGGTCTGTCAGGCAGATGCGCGCCACCTTGTACACGTCTCTGTGGCATGGCAGTGCGCTGGGCCCGAGCCCCCGCAGGATCTTCTCGATGCTCAGCATGATCTCGTACCGTCCCTGGGACTGAGCATCACCACAGCACCACAGTGGTTTTAGGAAACAAGTGTTAAGTACATGCATCCATTTATGTGGTTCTACAGATGTATGTTAAACCCCACTATAAACTCAAGCTGTCAGGAGTCTAGGCAGTAAATTGCAAAGAGACTAGAAAACTGTTAAGTACAAAACACTTTGATTTAGCTACAGAACGGATGAACTGTACAGCTGACTTAAGTAATATATAATGAATACTTTAACGGGTTAGCTGAACTGATTAATTCAGAACTTTAATCGTTTCACATTTCCCACCTCTTTCCCTCAATCAAATAAACGGTTAATACATATAATAATATCCATTAAAAACTATGTGCAAAAAACTGACAATGCAATGGAGTTCAGTGCTACTTCCCTGCCAAAAAATACACTGTCAGGGCTTGGGGAAGCCTTTAGGTCAATGCAAAAAAACAGCCATAAAAGAGAACATGATAGTCTGTTGGGCCCTCCCAGTGCCCTGTTAGGACTGACTCATCAGTGGCAGCAAAGCCAAAATTGGGCATGGTATTCAGAGTCTACCATAAGCTATTCTAAAGCAATACAGTATCAAGCCTGATTTAATCAAATGGCAGTTTAACATTGCACGGTGAACACATGACACATGTGGCTGTCCTAATCTGAATTAATAGATATTCTGATTTGAACAACAGGGAAAAAGTATGGATTATAACTAGAGCTGGTCGATACGACCTAAAATAATTTTTCACTTTTTGGATGGTGACGGTATTATATCACAGTTTATTACACGGCTCTCTGGAATGCTTGATTCTGATTGGTCAGTTGAGACATTTGCAGGTTCGTTCTTTTCAAATAATGACCGCTCCAAAGTAATAACGCATAGCCGGTACTACTTGTATGTTTAAAATCAGTCCGCGCCAACAAAGATTATTGTTTAAAAATGTTAATTTAAAACAAATATGTCAATAAAATGTTTCAAATTTATATTCATGTCCAGTTTTTTTCCTTATGTGGCAAGTAGCCGTGTAATAAGCGGGATAATGTACAGGCAGCCGGTAGTTATCGCGAAATAAGCCCCTTCAGTGTGATACAAGACCCTCCGCTTCGCGTCGGGTCCTGATCACACTGTCGGGGCTTATTTCTGCGATAACTACCGGCTGCCTTTACATTATCCCTTACATAACTTTTTTTCCAAGCTTTAGGAGGGGCAGCATGTCCTGTCCCTTTATGTAAATAAAAATATTCCAAAGTACAGGAATGCATTATTTTCAATTGGGATAACTGGGAGAATTATTTTGCAAAAAGCCTGAAGATCTTGACAACTTTTAAGTGCTACAACAAGTTTGGCTGTACCAAAATAAGAACACTTTTGTGTGTCACATGGTAGCTGTGAGCCAAGTTGTATCAGGGAACACCAAAACACACAAAGGAAAGCATCAAGGCACACAGCTACAGTACTAAAACGAACAGTGAAATATTTAAATGATGTGTTATACAGAGTAAACTAATAAGGAGGGTAACATAAAAATGCATCAGTGCTATCATAACACAGTGATAAAGCATGCATAATACAGATATTTGCTGCGTGTCAGATGATAACCAAATCAGTTCCAAATAACTGACACCTCGGCTGTTTCTGACATTCCACTCTTGTCTTTTTTTTTTTATTCCTTTCTCAACTTTCCTTAATTTTATTAGCCCATACCTAGTTTAAATGGTTTTTGGCATGGCGTCACCATACGTTAATTGGGCAGTTGTGCCTTTTAACACACACCTTGCATGAAGGCAGCGGCGCATATATATGCTGATTTAGCGAATATGTTTTACTTTACACGAACTCTGTTTATTCTGAATTTAATTTGCAATCATGACACAGTGTCAGAGTGTATTTAATTGAAAATTCACACAATGCAGATAAACCAATTATATATACTATACAAGGACAAGTATTCAGACTACAACTGAAGCTTTGAAGAAAATAAAATGTGTTATTTTTTATAAATAGGTTGTTGACTTCTTGCAGTGTTAACAGTATGGTGTCCATGACGTGGCGCACAATCACACCAGTAATGACTATATGGTACTGCCCACCCCCAATTATAAAAATCTCCCTCATTTAATACCTGTCATTACTTCGAGATAGGGATGCAAATTATCGAGTAATTCATTAATCAATAGTTGTTTCATCTTATCGATCGATGATCGATTAATTGCTAAGCGGCAATTTTTCTGAGAAGCTGAATTTCCCTCTGAATAGGTTCCCTCTTCATCCTCTGTGTACCATTTCTCTTTTATCTGTTGTTTTATCTGTTGTTTGCTTGTGTTCCCGCGTGTGCGTCAAGTACGTCTGGCGTCAAGTGCGCCCCACGAGGACTGGCAAGGAATTATGGGTTCAAAATACAATTAATTGCAATTAATTCATTTTAATCGAGTAATTTCTTATCGACAATTAATTGATAATCGATTAATTGCTTACATCCCTACTTCGAGAGTGTTATTATTGTTTTCTATCATGATGATAAAAATTAAAGAGAGCTGAAAATATTCCAAGTCCGGTTATCTGAAGAGATTTAGTATCAGTTTGATAAGGTTCAGGTTTTGTGTTGAGTAGTTAGGGAGGAATGGCTCTTACCTCAGCACTCTTCAGGGTCTTTATTAGGTTGGCCACCACAGTTGAAAAGGTTTTATCTAGCAACCGGCCGAGCTGCTCATATATCGCACCCAGGCAGGCAATGGCTGCCCTGCAGAATAGATTCATGTGCACATAAGCTCCAGAACTGCAGTCACATGTTGATTTATTTGTTAAAACAGCAAACACCATTTGTTTAAAAGCCTTTTTGCTTCACCTTGACTAAAGTGAAATGAACTCAGTGGTTACTTGTTTAGAAAGGTTAATATTCTTAATTACTACCTGGCACCCAGGAAATGACAAAGAAAAGAATCCATTGCTTTAACTGTTAACATTTCATTAAATAGACCAGTACTCAGAGAGCTGGGATAGGAGTAGACAGCATGACCCAAAACTGACAGTGAGACCCTGTGAAGTTGTGGCTTTAATCAAGCATCCAGTGACCAAGACCAGTGTAGGGATTTTGTGTTAAAGATCACTGTATGTCCAACAGGGGAACAAACCTAAACAGTAAACATGTTACAGCACTGTATGAAGTTATCAGGAATGCATCCAAGTTATCAGGAATGCATCAAAACATCGTGATGTGTGATACTATTTATCCATGTTCGTTGACCCATATCACTGTTTTTTTTCTTGTCTCTGTGCAGTTTGACCAATCAGATGGTGTGACGTAACCAGGTTAGTTTAGTCACGCTTTCGGCTCTGCTCATAAGCAGAACCATTTCAGCATGGGTATAGACCAAGTATGGCTCGCATAATTTACAATGGAAAACCTCTTTTTGGTTCAGCTCGGGTTCAGCTCAGTTCTGAGTGGCAGTGGAAAAGCACCATTAGTCACACTGGACAGGGAACATCAAGGCACTCAGTTTATCACAAAGGTACTGAAACACGTCAGCTCTCAATCACCCGATCCTCCTTCAAACCAGACACCACATTATTACAACACTCAGAGGATCTATGTCAGCTTATCATGTTCTCAGACGAAGGAAAATGCAAGTGATATAAAAACATCACAGTAAATTATGCAAGATAGTCAGGTATCATTTATAAAACAGTTTTACTGGTAACCAACACAGCATACTATTAGAAGGGTGGATAATGTGGGAATGGTGCATGGGATGAATGCTCACAGGCGGGTAGGCAGGAAGCTGGGCGAGTCGTCCTTGCTGCGGATGATGTCACTGCACTTATCGATCGTGATGGTGGCCAAAAAGGGATCACCGATCTTGTACATCAGGGCAAAGCACTGGGAGAGAAGCTGCCGGGTTGGTGGCCCTGGAGAACCCATCAGGACTCTCGTCAGCTGGTCCACCAGGTTCTTCTGATTCTGCTTCACCTCCACCTGGTGATACAGATGTTTTGCAAGCACTGCTTCATACAGTCACATATATCACTCCCCAGAGCTAGGACCATGAATGGCAAAAAAAGCAACAAAGAACTTAATTTATCAAAGTCCAGTCAAAGTCAAAGTATCTGTATTGTTGTCTCAACTTCAAGCATGGGTATGACATGTTGTATAGTGCAAATACCTAACTAGAAAGAATGCTGTTGGAGCAACAGCAATGTATTCCTCGAATTACCGAGTCATCCCCTCTATTCAATCTAATCCTTACTCCCCATCCTCTAATCCTCAATTTTGAGAATTACTGGATTAATCAATTGGAAACATGAAAGCCAATAAATGTGTTTTTACCTGAATGTTTGATCTTAGCTGCAACACGCAACTCTGAAACTACAGCTTATCATTTATTGCACATTCTAATTACATGCCGTTTAGCACAATCTTTCCCTTATCTTATGGAAATAAATTAATGACAAAAGTTGTTGATGCAAAAAACCACACTGATCGAATAAAAATGCATTGCATTTAATAATGCTTGAATATTTGGGGGCTGTAATTTAATGTGAATGTACATCTAAACATTCAATATTTCAACTGAAAATATTTCATGGGTAATTTCATTGGTAAAATAATCAATGCAAAAATATTTGGCTTCCATGATTTAATTACAAAATATACAGTTTATAAAGTTCATTTTTATAATTCAATCACCTGAATTCAATTAATTTACTTTTGCATCAAAATTAATTTCAAGACGCCAAATTCAGTTAATAAGAACATAAGAACTATACAAACGAGAGGAGGCCATTCGGCCCATCGAGCTCGCTTGGGGAGAACTTAACTAATAGCTCAGAGTTGTTAA